TTAATCCAGACCGACAGTGCTGGGTTCGAATCCTACGTGCAGGGTCGTGGATGCTGACTGGTGAGAAGTCACACGCTAGGACAAAACAGCCGTCCAGTGCTTCCAGATTTTCAATGGCGGTTTGATATTGATCGATTCATGATCTCAATCGAAACATCTGATTATTTTAAACATATCTTGTTTCTTCTGCTTACTTGAAGGAGTCAGATGAACTGATTTACTTGTAACTTCAATAACACGTTTAGTGAATAACGTGGTTCCAATGAAGTTATGTAGCTGTGTACACAACGCATTGGATATATGAAACGAAAAATATTTCTGGGTTGAAGTCTCAATATAAAAATCAATATTGGGATACCGGTACACGTAGCTAACTAGCTATCCCTGAATAGAGGGAAATGCATATATTGAGTTTTTCTGCTATCTACAACTTCTTTAATCAAACTATAATAATGTCGAAAAATTAGGATACAGAAAGTGAGAATAAAGGAGAGTAGGTAATCGACGTAGTATAAAAAAAACGAATAAAAATGAATGTGAATTGCCTGAGTTTTAATCGAGGGGGGGGGATAGTAATTCCAGTAATTCATTTCATTTCATTTTATCTGAGTGTGAGCTGTGATACCGTACGGGTGCCCAGACTGAAGCAGCTGGTTTTCTTAGGGTTTACACCCGGAGCCTTTGACCTATAGATCGAATCTACATAGCAGTGCAGCAACGTCAGTAGATGCCGTACCATGGTAGCCGGTGACCAAGAAATTGGTTAATACCCCATTTGTTCCCTCAGGTTACTGAATTCTATGTCCACCATTGGTTTGGAATCAGGGTTTTCCAACTTCCCTAGGTGAAATCTCCGTGCCCACCAACCTGGTTAAAGCGCTAGACATTCGCTTTTTGTCCTCTCACTTTCGTAAACAGCAGTAGTGACGCGAGATGACCGGTGAGTAGGACTTCTCTTGCAGTGGTTTTATGCACGCGACGATGTGGGGGCATTTGACTTAATTACGTTTTATGTTTTATGCTACTAATAAGCATACAAAGTTTAAACTCATTAATTCCTTGGAGTAGTGATACTCCTTTTATTTTACCTTACTCTCAATGACGTGTTCTCCTAAGGAATGCATTATTTGTCAAAGTTTTAACGTTTTACTTGTTGTAATCATCTTGTATCTTTGAAAACGTTGATTATATGTATATATGTTGCTTATTTTAATATGATCGACAGATGGATTAACCGCACTATTTGGTGCTTTCATGATATTAATTCACAAACAAATCTGAATCGTGTAAAGTGAAAACGAATTCCGTAGGTAGAATAGGATGCTTATGTGTAACACACATCTCTTTACAATACAGTCCTACAGGATATATGTGTATATACATGATTTTATTTAATCCATATTGTGAATGAAGATTTTTCTAAGAATGAACGCTCCCCTTTATATCTGAATCCTACGTCACATCAGTTTTGAACAATCCTTGGTAGTCCTTCTTCTTGCATCTCTATTGAATATGAATATATAATTGAAATACTTGATTCTTTTATATACTCTACACACTTTCGTTTTTCTTCTTTTTCTTCTTCTTCAATAATTCGTAAACTATTTTCAGTTATTTTGAATGTAAATGTCATCGTTTTTGTGTTCTGTGAATGATGCCGTGTATGGTCAGTTTTTAAATCAATCATGTGTATCTATAGAGATTTACCGATGAGTTATGCATCCAATGTATCTTGTTTTTGTCAAGTACATATTTTTGTAATTCACTTGAAGACTTACTCCAAAATGTTTCACACCTAGTTGATACTACAATCCGAATTTGTTTGATCAATAAAGAGAGCATGTTCCAAACTTGCGGTTTACAGTCTGAATGTTCATAGTGCATGTTTGTTTGTTTGTCATTTGTCCACTGAATATTTGAACAGGAAATATTTCTATTTCTTTGAAATGTATATTTATAAAAGCTCTTTTTTCTGTATTTTTAGTTGACTTAGGCTCTATACTTGGAATATGAATATTCCTTTTGGCCACTCTTCTTGTTGTCTATCGTCTAAGGCATAAGTAAGTTGTAGTTTTTTATTGTATATATATTTGTGTATTGATGTGGGATGTAACTCTGTATCATGGTTGATTTGTCAGTGTATATATACACATCAGTGGATGTCTAGTATAATTCTTTAACATGAATTATTTACTGACTCCATTTATTATTGATATATTTAATACTTGAATAATGTATACTGATTCTCTAGCCTCTTTCTAGTTCTTCTACATAGAAATGTCATACACTTATCGCTTAAACAGAATCGAAAAAGTGAGAGGTGTCGAATGAACAGTTGAATTCGGTGGTTTATATATGACGATAATATGTTAGGACCTTCTAGGTGGGTAATCATCCAACCAAGATATGATGTATAATGCATTGCTTTTGCAGAATTCGCTGAGAAGATTCCATTAAATACCGAGTGCAAGAAATATACTTTTTATCCAGGCAAACGTTACTTCTAATGTAGCATAGGCCGTCGACCAGCATTCTTCAACCCACTCTGTCCTTGAACCTCTTTTCTAATTCCATCCAGTTCTTGTTCATTTTCTCTCCTGATCTTGGTGTTGGTTGACAGCTGCTTTGAGTTCCAGATGTTCCTCACTTGTAAATATGCTGATCTTGCTTTGCCGATCCACGCCTTCACATCTGCATCAGATCCACCGTGTTCATCAACGATGCTGCCCAAATATGTCAAGGTTTTTACATCTTCCAAATCTTCTCCGTCAATTGTGACTGGATTGGTGCATTCTGTGTTGTATCGAAGAATCTTGCTTTTCCCTTTGTGCATATTGAGGCCTATTGCTGCTGAGGCTGCTGCCACACTGGTCGTATTCTCCTGCATTTGTTGTTGCGATTGCGATAGGAGGGCCAGATCATCTGCGAAGTCTAGATCGTCCAGCTGCATCCTAGATGTCCACTGTATCCCGTTTTTCCCTTCAGATGTTGACGTCTTCATGATCCAGTCGATCACCAGGAGAAAGAAAGGGTGAGAGTAAGCGACCTTGCCTAACACCGGTCTTCACTTCGAACGACTTTGTCAACTGTCCTCCATGCACGATTTTGCAGTTTAATCCATCATATGAATTCTGTATGATATTGACTATCTTCTGAGGCACGCCGTAGTGTCGAAGAATCTTCCATAGTGTTGTTCTGTCCACGCTATCTAATGCTTTCCCATAATCAATGAAGTTGATGTAGAGCGATGAGTTCCATTCAATTCATTGTTACACATTGATCCATAGAATTGCGATTTGGTTTGTACATGATCTATCCTTACGGAATCCTGCCTGTTGGTCACGAAGTTGGGCGTCTACGGAGTCCTTTATTCTGTTTAGCAATACCCCGTTGAAGACTTTTCCCGGTATTGAGAGAAGATTGATGCATCTGTAGTTATCACAGTTGCTGAGATCGCCTTTCTTCGGTATTTTGATCAGAAGTCCTTCTTTCCAGTCTTTTGGTACTTATTCCTCATCCCAAATGTTGCTAAAGAGAAAGTGGAGTATCCATGCACTTGCCGCAACGTCTGCTTTCAGTGCCTCTGCGGGAATGTTGTCTGGTCCTGCTGCTTTGCCACTCTTGATTTGTTTGATGGCCATGCTGATTTCTTCAATTGTTGGTGGGCCAACATCGATTGGGAGGTCCGTGGGTGCTGCTTCGATGTTGAGTGGGTTCAGTGGGGCAGGTCGATTCAAGAGTTCGTTGAAGTGTTCTACCCACCTGTTTCGTTGTTCCTCAATGTTGATGATTACCTTGCCTTCCTTGCTTTTCACTGGTCTTTCTGGTTTGCGGCGATTTCCAGAGAGTTTCTTTGTCGTGTCATACAGTTGTCTCATGTTTCCTTATCTTGCAGCCTTTTCCGCCGTCGTTGCTAAATCTTCCACAAATTTACGTTTGTCGGTTCTGATGCTCCTCTTCGCTTGTTTGTTTACTTCTGTGTATTCAGCTTGTGCCTTTGCTTTTTCTGCTCTTGTTTGACTGGTGTTGATTGCTGCCTTCTTGTTCCTCCTTTCTTGAATCTTATCCAGTGTATCAACAGTTATCCATTCCTTGTGATGGTGCTTCTTGTGGCCCAGGACTTCATGACATGTTGAAGAGATTGCCTCTTTGTTCCCCTTCCAGTTGCTGTCCATAGTAGGTCCTTCTCCATTGAGGAGATCATGAAAGGCCTGGAACTTGTTGCTGAGGACTATCTTGAATTTGTTGAGTTTGTCAGTATCCTGAAGAAAGGCTGTATTGAACTTTTATGATATTGTCCGCCCCACTGTGCAGTGCTTCTTGAGTTTCATTTTCATCCTGGCGTTCAGCAATTGATGATCTGATGCTATATCAGCTCCTCTCTTGGTTCGCACGTCCTCCATCGTCCTCCTGAACTTTTTGTTGATGCAAATATGGTCGATTTGGTTTAGTGTTGTGTGATCCGGTGAAGTTCATGTGATTTTGTGAATGCGTTTATGTGGGAATATGGTGCCGCCTATGACCAGTTTATTGAAGGCACAAATATTTGCAAATCTCCCACCATCTTAGTTCATTTTTCTCCTAGTCCATGTCGTCCGATGATATCTTCATACCCGGTTTTGTTCAGTTTAAACTAGGCATTTGAGATACTCTTCAAAATGTTCAAGTCCTTCGCAGGCCTTTCTCAACGACTGACCGTAACCTATCGTATAATTAGTCAATAAAATTCATCATTGTAATTGTTGGTAGCCTCATAGCATTGGATGACTTTCATTGTAGTGCTCTGTTTCTTTGTTTTGATGTAAGCTTTGATGATCCTTTGTCCATGAGATTCCCATCCTATAATTGCATTTTGTGCTTGTTTGGACAGCATCATTGCAACACCTTGTGCATGTGGGTCATTTTCTTCATCATGTCCACAGTATAACAGAAGCTCCCCTGAAGCTAGTCGTTGTTGTCCAACTTGCATCCAATGTGTTTCACTGATCCCAAGCAGTTATAGGTTGTATCTCCTCATTTCTGCATCAATTTGGAGGACTCTCACTGTCTCCCACATTGTATGAGTATTCCATGTACCTAAATAAATGGTTGCTCTGATTGTCAAAAGGGACATCGTCCTCATGAATTCCTAAGGAACTCAGCTTTCATCACGAGGTGTCATAGTTCCTCTAAAGGAGGATTTTCTGACTCCCAGAGAGAGAGCACGAAAATTAATGTGGTAAAAAATCTAATGAACAGAAGTACTAAGATTGTTACAGACAAGGAAGACCAACGAACTGAATTAAATAAAGTATTTTTTACTCTTAGGGATAACAACTACCCAAAAAGGTTTTTAAAGAAGATTATTAAAAATGAAAGGAAAACTAAACTGGAAAGTATGCGAAAAGAATGGAATTACACAGTGGTCATACCTTACCGTAGTGAAATATCAGAAGAAATCAAACGGATTCTAAACCAATATGATATAAGAGTGTATTTTAGAGCGAATAACACATTAAGATCGACAATAGTTAAAGTTAACGACAAGTTAGCAAAGGATGAACAACAGAACATTGTGTATGAGATTCACTGTCATGACTGTAATGCTACCTATGTTGAAGAAACATCCAGGCAATTGAATGTAAGATTGAAGGAGCACAAACAATGCTTGAAAAATGTTCCAAAATCCTCGGTTGATTTAAAGAAACTTGAAAATATGTCAGCGATAGCGTTACATGCGTTAGAAACAGGACACATGATTAATTTTGAAGGGACCAAAATACTTCAGAAAGGTTTTAACACCCATAGAAAAAGATTGACAGCAGAAACGCTGCATATATGGGCGAACAAGAACAGCCTGAACCGAAAAGATGGTATTCAACTGGCAACTATCTGGCAAATTTTCGTTTGACAAGTAAATTTGGAACCTATCTCTTGTTTAAACCTGTTTTTTTATATTACATGCATCGTTATTATTATTGAAAGAACTGAATGAGTTTTTTAAACAATACAATTTATGTTTTGACATGTACATCGATGTTTCATTATCAATTTTTCATCCTTGAACTTGAACTTTATTTATTCCTTCATATCAATCTCTCACACATACATACATACCTACACACTCACACACACACATACAACTTGGTTACTCAGTTAAGTATTTCTATGTAGTTGAATTCTTCACATGATTTGTAGTTAACTGACTCATTTTATCCTCCCGACCGAAGCTGCTACCTTGACGCGGTGGTCGGGCTTGCCTACCGTGATGACCCAACCGAGCTATTTTGGCTGGAACATATGTTCCTGTAGGTTCTACCATGCCAGGCAGGTCGATTAGTGAACGGTAAGACTAAAAGCAGCAACTCAAGGTCTGAGGGCGAAGTCGTACTGCTGACTGTAGAGAGGTGTGACAGCAGTAAGGTGTTTCCTTCGGACAACCAGCATGACAGCGATGCTGCCTTCCCACAAGGAGGGGTGGTGTTACAAAAGGTCGACCCTAAAAATGCCACACCTCACCTTACCTCACGGATTTCCGTCTCCGGCGGTAAGGCCCTTTGAAGAACGGAGCTAACACGTCAAAAACCTGCCACAAAAAGGCCGTGCGCGACCGGCCTCAAGCAGTTGTCCCTTGGGCTCTGCGGTCACGCTCCCAGGTCGTTAAGACCAACACTAATCCAATTTCCTTTTCAGGTTCCTCAAGAAATACCCTTCTACGGTGTGTGCAGCCGGGAAGTGACATCAGCCCTCATACCCGTAACAGCACAAGAGACCAAGTTGGTCACGTTCAAATCCTTCCTACACCTCCTAATACCTCTCTTCAAATCCATTTTATCCTATTTTACAAAAACTCAACATCCAAATATGATTGGTTTAACACAGTATAATCCTGATTGTTAAAAGCTATATATGTCCTTGATAATTTTGATTTTGATTATTACCCTGAAGAAGTCCAGACAAGTTAGCTGGACGAAACGTTGGAATTAGTTAAATTTCCATCGCTGAGAATACTTCAAATACAATTTTCACACATAATGACTTCTCTATACTCGGCGCTCAATTACTGTCAAAATGTTCGTTCTAATTTTGACGAATATTCGTATAGAGAGTTTAAAAGTTTTAAAGAATTTTTTTGGCTAGCGTTTTCTTAGTGAGTTAGTTTTCTACGAGATAGGGTCGCTAACCCCATGCAGAACCCTACTCCTTTCTCCCGGTTTGAAACTGGCAGTAGCCCACAGAGGGACAATGTGGTGTCAGTTATTATGTTAACCCCATATACCTTATTCTAGCTTTCGGACATCCCATTCTATTCATTCTACTTGAGCCATACTTTGACCTTGTTATTTATACGCTTATCAATCTAGCCTGTTTTTATAAGAGCGTTTATGTGTGTGCCCTTCTTATCCCATTAATCACATGTCTGTAGCTTATTTTTGTCTGACTATAAATATTGAGTAACGCTTGACAAAGAGGGAGTTGGCTTCCCAGCCATCTTCCCTACGTGTCATTTTGCTTTGCTCTGTTTCATTCGCTTCATATACAAAATATATTTATTCACAAGTCAATTCTCGTTATTCGACTTATTTAATTCCGTTATTGACTAACGCGATTTGAGCCAATGATTATATACGACAATAGGCGATAACAATCATTCGTACCCTCTAAATGGAGTCAGATCCACGGGCCACTAAAACAACACGGGAAGTGAGATCAACTTTCTCTCGTTGGCCTACTGATGCAATGGCTTTTGAATGTTGTGCATTCAGCAATAAGATTTGAAAAATTGGGAATTCTGTCCGATTCCCTTGATCAACTATAACATTACACCGAATTCTATCATTTCTGTTACATTCTGTGCATAAATTTAAAGTAAAATATATTATCACTTCTTTAATCTCAGTGTAAATTATCTGACCATTTAATTAACAAAAACATATTTCTGTTGACCTCAGTTATTGACAGAAATATCAATGATTATAACTGTGCTGTCGTCAGTCACCTCACGCCATCTGATTAATCAAATAATTTGGTATTATTCTATATCATCTATTATGTATAGTGGGCGTAATATGAATCTTATTTAGAGCAAAAAAACAACGATTTCTAATAATAACTTGATAATTAGCCACACGTTCAGAAAGAAGATGAGTGAAATTCTCATTTTCAAAAGATTACTACTTTCTATAAATAAAATGAAGTGAAAACAAATCTCTCGACTGTCAATCCATAGAAGGCTGTGCTCCATTTATGAATAAACACTGAGTCATTCAACTGTACGGCCGTTTCGTCCTAGTATGCGACTCCTCAGCACGGCACATCCTTGATCCCGCACTCCGCGAGATTCTAACCCAGGACTCACTAAAGACAACAGTGTAGGGTGTTGCGACACTGTGGTTGGCTGAAGTTGGACAATAACAACGTAGGATCATGACTGTCTCGCTTTTTCAGCGAAATGTTTTCTTCGGTCTTCCTCTTCCCTATTTACTATGAAAATTCCAAGTGAAGGCTTTCTGTGTGACACACTTAGGTGCTTTCCTCAATGTCGGCCCTTTACACTTCCAGCGTTTCTTTTTGATTTCTTCCTCCACTGAAATCTGGTTTGTTCTCTCCCACAGTAGGTTGTTGCTGATAGTGTCTTGCAAACGAGTCCGAAGTATTTTGCGTAGACAACTGTTAATCAACGCTTGAATCTTCCGGATGATGGCTTACGTAGTTCTCCAGGTTTCCGCCCCATACAGTAGAACTGTTTCGACATTTGTATTGAAAATTTTGACCTTGATGTTAGTTGATAGACAGTTGTTTTGACTTCCAGATGTTCTTCATTTGTAAATATGCCGCTCTTGCTTCGCTAATCCACGCCTTCACGTCTGCATCAAATCCACCGTGCTCATCAATGATGCTGCACAGATTTGTGAAGGTATTTACACCTTTCAAAGCTTCTCCGTCAAGTGTGATGTGATTTGATTTGATTCTTCTGAAATATTTTCTTGAAATTTATTAGGAACTTCATTGGTGAGTAATGGATCATTAGAAAAATCAGCGTTTGTCAAAACTGCATAAGTATTTTGCTCATGATTAGATTCACTCGACATATTTTCCTCAAATTTCTAGGAGATTTTATCAGAAATATGTGAATTGTCGGGACAAATTGAATCTGTTGCAATAACATGAGAAATTCGATAAGAAGTTGATTGATTAGAAACTTTTGTTTCACAATCATTCAGAGTGTCATTTAAGTCTGGATCGCTATATGACTGTATATTGCTTTACGAAATCATGTACAAAGATAAACTATCATTAGAAATCGTCAACTTAGTAGGATGAGAACTACACAATTTAGTATTAGTCGCAGGAAAATGAACAGCAGTACTACAAACTAACTGAATGTGTCCAATCTCACCACATTTAAAACATTTCAAATTACGAAATACACACGTATGATATGCGTGGAAATTGCCACAGAACAAACATTTACCAAACTTGTGCTTATACTTGTGAACTATCTTACAACTCAATGATCTGTTAACTGAATAAGCTCGAATACGCACTGGACTGTGACGGCGTGATGTAGTGGGACTACTGATGTTCTGACGAATCATTTCAGGAACATTTACTCATTTAACGCCCTCGAAATTTGTATACTTTATATGGTCTAGTAGCAGTTGCTTCAGAGTTGCATTACGAAGAGAAATCGGCTTGTCAGGCGATGCCAATGTCTTCATTCAGCTGTATGCTTCTTTTCGGATGAATGAAAGGAAATGAGCCACAATATTGACATCCCCAACAACATCCTTGGTTATAGCCCAGATTTACCTTTCCATGTAATTCGCAAAAGCATCGAAATCTGAGTGTATCTTCAACCATTCTATCACAGGCTCACGCAAATGTGATAATTCGTAGTATTTCAACCATGGTACGAACTAGGAATCTCAGGAATAACGCAATAAAACCAAGAACAGCTAAATGAACACGAACAAAGATTTGCATTAGGAATTCAGAATCAAGCAGTCAACAAATACAAGGGAATAATTGGCGAGACACTGCAAACCTGACTTGCTATTTAAATATTCAACTGCGAATGCTTCTTTGCAAAAGAGCGCATTTCAAATTTGTTGGAAAGTGAGGGCAAACTTCAGTACAAAATGACACGTCAAAATGTATTCAACCTCACGTAAACTTTGATCGCTCACATTGAACCATGATATGCAACCATAATCAATATTCAGTGAAAACATACACTTGGTTAATAGAAAAATGTGTTTATTCAGAATATCAGTTGAGGATGAGTTTATCCGCCACAGTGATTGATATAAAATGGAACACAGAAGGTGATCTGGATTTCATCACCGATGTACACAGGAAGAAATAACTAGTCGAGTCTCAAAGAATCAGGATCATCAATGCGCGATCCATAGATTGATAAACTGAGGAAGTGAGAGCTAGATGATTTTGTGAGGAAACAACCACTAAACTCATCTGAAATTAGACGGTCAATGGCTACAGTGTTTATTCATAGATGGAGCATAGCCTTCTATGAATTGACAGTCGAGAGATTTGTTTTCACTTCATTTTATTTATAGAAAGTAGTAATCTTTTGAAAAATGAGAATTTCACTCATCTTTTTCTGAACATGTGGCTAATTATCAAGTTATTATTAGAAATCGTTTTTTTTTGCTCTAAATAAGATTCATATTACGCCCACTATACATAATAGATGATATAGAATAATACCAAATTATTTGATTAATGAGATGGCGTGAGGTGACTGACGACAGCACAGTTATAATCATTGATATTTCTGTCAATAACTGAGGTCAACAGAAATATGTTTTTGTTAATTAAATAGTCAGATAATTTACACTGAGATTAAAGAAGTGATAATATATTTTACTTTAAATTAATGGACTGAATGTAACAGAAATGATAGAATTTGGTGTAATGTTATAGTCGATCAAGGGAATGAGACAGAATTCCCAATTTTTTCAAATCTTATTCCTAATCACACAGCATTTAAAAGCGATTGTATCATCAGGTGAATTAGAGGAATTTGATCAAACCTGCTGGCGGGATCCTGAAACCATCTTCAGGTCCCACGCTAGAAACACCTGAGACCTCATTCTCACGTCCAGATCAGCAGACTACGCGGTTCATGATTTCAAAAGATATTGCAGGCTCACGCGACGCTGACGAGACTGCCGTCTCACGTTCCAGTTGCAGAGTACGGTCACCCGTACGCTTCCGCGACTAGTCGCACAGTCAACAACCGATACGGTGTGGGATTATTCCTATACTACATGTATGCTACACTCTT